TCAATGCATGAGTGAAAGCCCTATGATTTGTTTTAATTCCTGTAACATTCATTGGTGCACCACTGAGAGCAAATATTCTTGTAAAGATAAACAAAATAGATTCTTGATTATGAATCCAATGAAGGGAGAAATTAACACATCTGCAGAACTGACTGCTAACCCCAAGTGCTGTATCATTCATTTTGTCCTTCTGGGTTTATTCTTCCCCCAAGCTAGGACAGAAAAGACGCAACTCATTTTTTAAAAGAAGATTTATTCTTGAGTAAGTGATTCCGTGATGTAACATGGTTTTCAACAAAAATAGAGATCAGTATGAAAATAAAACAAATTGTACACATTAAAATATCTTTCCGTCAAAGCATTTCATAATCATAAAAAATACAACACAAGAGTCAGGGGCTCAGGTGAGGGGAAGAATACAGACGTCCCAGAAGATGAACAACTGGTCCACGGTTCAGTTGTAAGCTTTGTGTAATGCCGGTCACAAAGCATTTCTAGGATGGCCACCAACCCCCTATAGTATGTGCCTTAAAAAAAAAAAATGTAACTGTAAGGTCAAATGAGGGCTGTATAATCTTATTCTAATATCAAACACCTCCCATTAGTATTCTCTATTAAAAGTTACACTGAAGAAATACAAAGCTTAAATCAAATCAACAGACCCAGAAGTGTGACGATTAACCGTGATCTATGGTACAGTGGACAGGAAGGGCGAGGCTGGTGAAGAGACAGAGAGGCTTAAAAAATACACCGCCTGTGCTCTACTGAAATCTTAGAAATAAAATGTCTTTACAGAGCCTTGATATTAAAAAGTAAGCATTGTTATAAAATTAGATTAATACTTTCAGTAAGAGGCAAGAGAGATGCATGTATTTTTTTTTATTCGTTTATTTTGGAATGCCTGCACCCCTATTATAAAAACATGTAATCTTACGCACTTTCCAGTGTGCTAACAGCCCCAATATTTTACTTATGATATTACATAAAGAAAAATAAGCTGTAATTATATCACTTAGGGCATTGGTGTCCCAACAAAACATTCTGTTCTGTGTTTCCTGGTTCACCCTTCCAAGGTGTTTCTTAAACATTACCCATCCCTTTTACCAGAAGGTGATAATTACCAGAATTTACTGATGATTTCTCACCTACACCAGTAATAGCTGATTCACTTTGAATCATAAACAGTCCTATCAATATTCCTCAGGTTTGTAATATCTTAAAATGAAACTGGATTTGAAGATATCACTTGCCCAAGGCCTCCAGACATAAAAATCATATACAGCTAGAGACATCTGTTCTGTTGAGCTATTTGACCACGAAATCAGAAAAAAGTACCTTGACCACCAAAACTGAAGCAAACGTATTCGCTGTCTTAACTTCTTTGGTAGGAAGCCATCATTAGGTCTCCTTTTGTAATTCAGTAACCTCTCACTTAGGAGCTTGCTTTCCACACTAATAGGAACGTTTAAATCAACATTAGAGAGCTGATTGGAGAATGAGAATGTCCCAAAAGTTATGTTAATGTCAGCTGTAAAAACAAATGAACCATAATGAAATAAAAAGCACTTTTGTTTCAAAAATAGTGTTCGATAGTAGTAACAATAATTTTCAAGTTAAAAAAAATGAATTCAAATTGTTGAGCTTCCTGATCAAGCTACGGTTAGCCTTAAAACTTTGGGACTGAATGACATTTTGCAGTACAGGAAATACGAGCCTCCTGAAATCACACAATATGGGTATCTCCCACCAGGTAGATGGCCCATCAGTGTCTTCACTAAACTAAGGCATTGTTTTCAACTCAGAAATGGCACACATCCTGACCCCCGTTAGCATGCTCTGATGATGTTTGCAGCAATGTCCCCCTGTCCCCTTGGCTCTCCTGCCATCTTAAATGCACCTTCACTCCTAACCCTGATAGCTCTCACGGAGTCAAACACATTCCTTACATCCACAACGTCAGTTCCTGGAAATGCAGCCGTTACTCTTGAATCTCGACAGCACCCCTTGAAGGGTAGTGGTTGGACCTTGAGTTACAGCCCAGAAACTTCTAAGTCTCTGGGGTTCCTTTGCTTCTGTGCTAGGCAAATTATCTACAAACAAAACTAACTGCGAAGCAAATAGATTCTTCTGATCAGAATCTGCTGCCAGGGGTCCATTCCCATTAATTTAAAGTCAAGTCACATGGACGTAGGGTGGCCAGTTGAGGACGCCACTCAGCAACAGCTGACCCAAATCTCAAGTGTAACTGGGGGCATGGGAGGGGGGCAGGCTGTAATTTTTCAACTGCATGTTGCTTCTTATGTGGGGTTAGTGATGCCTTGTAATGACAAAACGGCCTCATTTCCTGCCCCTGGAATTTCCTGAATGAAGTTAAGTTGAATAAAACTCTAGACACTTCTTTATAAATTATGTTCCTTGTGAGAAGTAGTGCAAAAAGTAGAAAAAAAAAAGTCATTTGAATAAATATCAGGAAGACAGGAAGAAAAACGGAAGCTGCGGGTGGTCCCTTCCTCCATGTTCCTGGGAGCCAGCTGCCAGGCCTCTGAAGACTCAGGTTTATCAAAAATTAATAATGGAAGCCAGGTCTCTGGTTGGTGCCTTTTCCATATTCTTGCCTCTACATAATCCCCAAGGAAGCCCACCAAAGACAATCAGATTGGTCTTCAGTTGCTCCCACAGGCAGGAGATGTAAACACTGCGTTTGTGAAGAGCCTTCTTCACCGATATACTTTCTTCGTGGCCTCCGCAGGAGCACCACAAGTGAAGCGCATTTGAGAAAGTGAGAATTCGGGAAAGCAAAGCATCTGAAAATCGAGAAGATCAGTACAAACATTAGCCTTCGTATTTCCCGAGATGAAACAGGATCGCGGCCACAAAGTTGGAAGAGCGGGATCCCAGCGGGAGCTTGATCCTTCTCCCTAAGCAAGCACTGAGGACCAAACGAGGATGCAAGGGTGCGAGGATGCAAGGAGGATGCGCTGGCAAGCACTGGGAAGCGCTTCAGCTCTGGGCAGCCTACCCTCCAGCGCCTTCGGGGCGGTTCCATCAGGGCGGCTGTGAACAGACCTCAGTCCTTATAACTAGAGTTTAAAGTACTGAGAATGTCTGGAGGAGCTGCACTCTGGTTTTGCAAAAATGTATTCCCGCTCTAGTTCAATTGCATCTTTTATATTTATTTATTACAGAGTGACCATTGAAGTATTAATACAGCATGTACTAGAAAACTGACTTCCATTCATGTTGTGCGCCAGAGAGATGCTCTGATCCCAGGTGTGGTTTTGGCTCAGGAATTGAGATATTTTACACCGAAAATGGAACGTGTGTGTAGCGCAGGGACGGGAGGAAATATCCAGACTTCATTTTGGTATTTCTTTTTTTTTTTCTATTCTTTTCTATCTAGGATGATATTTCTTTGATAATTTAAAGACGCTTGACTTGCCCCTTCACAACTCAGGCCCCATCTACAGACTTGAAACCCTCCTCACATGAATGCATTTTGGGTCTCAAGATTTACCAGCACTGATATTCTATGACACCCTTGTAGTTACCAAGAGAAGCAGCACATACATGATAATGACTTTTAGCTACACCCTTTCACATACAGGAAGCTATAACCAAGACTCTGGGGGTGGATAGTTTATTCTCTCTTCATTCATGAATTGTAGAACTTTGTCTTTTATTTAAAATGGTCTTGGAAACTCGATGCCCTCTCTAGTAGACTATGAGCATTTTTCTGAAGGCCAGATTCAGAATCTTGGGGCTCCATCACCAAATGAGTGTCTGGCACGAAGGGAACGCCAACGATGTGCCCGTGCTTTGAATGATGATGGGGTACCAAAATTGTCTTTTATGTTGTTAGCAGCCTCATTTAGAAATCTCTCCAAACCAAACCAAAGATCCAAGTTACTGGGGTCCACATTCCAGAAGAACACATTTATGGATATTTCTAATTGTGGAGTACAATAACATCTAATTTATTATGTGGATGTTGTTTAACTTTTTTTTTAAAGCTGTTATTGTGTGCGTTTTGTTTTACCCATGAAGAGCAGCAGACAAGTTATCCTGGTTTTCTGATATGCTAGCTTCAATTCTGATAATTTTCCAACTCTCAGAACAGGGCCAACTGGACTTCTTTAAGACCGTCTGAGCACATCTAAAAAGGTTGAGAAGCCTTATCATCAGCAAGATAGCTTCGATTAGAAGTAAAGGGGTACATTTTATTATTTCAAATATCTTCCGCTAGCGACAGGGCACACGGTGGGTGGCAAACCGCCTCAAACCAAACGAACACTAACGCGGCCTAGAAATGAACTTCGGAAGGAAAGGCAGCTTCCCCTTGATGAGCCCCTGTGACAGCTGTCAGGGATGCTCTGACGCATCCAAGTGTGGTTCTCAGAGCATGCTAATGCGCTCTGCTTTCCTTATGATGAAAACACACAAACAAATAAAAGAGGTTTGCAAAAATTAAATATGTACTTTGTGTTCATGGCAAATAAGTACAAACTAATAATTCCAGTCAAAAAAGGTTCAGTTTTTTTTCTTTTCTTTTTTTTTTTTTTCTGGCCCAATTGTGGTATACAAATAGTCTTCATCTCTTTCCTATAAGGTTTGCTCCTGGAATGTTTCCCCACATCCTGTGCTTATCTTTAACACAGTAACACAACGTGAGCATCATTCCTCCTGAGGATCCAACGGGACACACAGCTTCACTAGCAGGAGGGTAACTGCTCTTACTACACACCTATGGGGACCTGTGCATGTAAGCCCGTGACATGCAAAGTCACCCACACTCCACCACAGCAGTCCACGCCACTTATAAAACAAGATGCTCGGAGCAATGTGTCGGGAATGCCTGGAACGCCCCCTCCCTCCAGCCTGGCAGATTAAATGCTCATCCAACGGTTCTCCCGCCCTCAGTTCCACCTCACCTCACCGTGTGTCTGCTTAGTGATGTCATAAATCAAGGAACAAACAATGGCCTGGGACAGTTCCGAAAGCAATTAAAATGAAGGATATCCTTTTATTAAATTAAGAAGGCTTGTCAGTGATGTCATGCAGTTTCCGAGAGACCATAGAAAAGACTTTTTCTTGATATTAATAAGAAAGTTATGCATCAGTGAAAATGCAGCTTAGAAACAGAGGTGCCGAGAGTTTCAACTGGTGGTGTCCTCACTGACGAGGGAAAGTGGAATTCTTCCTACGAGGAGAGTGGGCCTCTCTGCCACTGCCGACGGCTCCCTGACCAAGCTTGCCGTTTGATGATGCTGTACAAATAAAAAGCAGTGGCGGGGGGTGGGGGAGGAATACGAAATTTCTGTAATAAATGCCATCCTGTAAAGTGGTCGATGGATGGAAGAGAATCTAATGCATTTTTAAATAAATGCATATCATACTATCACATAGTGTGAGTCTTAAAAAATTATTACTTAGATGCACAGTCCTCGCAAGTGGCTCCATGGCACTAGGGAGGAAGTCTGATTTAGAAGCAACGTCTGTTGTACTCAGCAAGAGATGGAGCTGCTGTCTTATTGTAATGTCCCTTCGACTTTGGTACGGTCAGTGCAAAATATCTGGGGGAATTTTTTTTTAACCTTTATAAAAATAAAAGGCCCTTTCGTTCCCTTGAGCAGGCTTACAAGGAGACAGACGAGCCAGATGTCCGAGTAAGCATGAAACGTGAAAATGAAGAGGAGGTACGGACAATATGGTAGCTAGGTCCTTATATACATTTTAGAGAACGGAAATATAATGAACCTATTAAAAAAATAAACAGAACTCACTGTGTACATTTTCCTGATATGCTGTGATTAATTGCTAGCTATTTGAAAACTGTTTTCATGCATTATAAAGCATCAGAACTGTCATTAGTAATTCACTGAGCAAGTCTGTCTTCAGCCGTAAGGACACACATACCACTTGCATATACATTGTTACAGGACCACCTTGCGGCAAATCTTGACAGTTACCTCATACTGACTTCGTTTCACTCGTGTTCCGTGAATGTCGAAACCTATACTGTACACCATGCAGGCACGCGTAAGCAAGAAACGAATATTTCGGTTATAACTTAGGGCTTAAACAAATGTACTCTCAGGAAATATATATATTTTTTATGTATTCTTTCACTTGCACTAATTTGGAGATTGGGCCAAGTGCCGCCAGTTTGGCCTGACGTATGCCCGACAGGAGCGTTCCAAGATTCTCCCGAGTCGCTGAAAGTCCCCCATGGAGTTGATCAAGTGCAGGTTCACCGTTATCTTGAAACATACAGGACGCGCGGGAAAGGTTTGGCAGTCAAGAACTGTTGATTGAAAGACAGTTGGGTCGTTCCACGGACACCGAGCTCACCCCAATGCTTCCAAGGGCACTCACAGCCAGCCCCCCAACACACGAGCCTGTGTTCCTCAAGAGCAGCACGCAGTCTGTTCTCCTGGAAGCGTGGGCTTGAGACGACCACTCCGCCACTCTTCCGGAGGAGGTGGGCTTCTGACGCCGCCTGTCCGCCCGGAGCCGAGCACCCTCCTCCCAGCTCACTCAAGTCCAAAGGTGCTGGTCTCTTCAACTGCGGTCAAGAGTTTCTCATACAGCATGGAAAAGGAAGGGTACGGAGGGAGATCCAGGCGGTTAAAACAAGTGTGGGCTCTGCAAACAGAAGAAATATGATGTGCTTTAGTTGGGGGGGGGGGGGGCTGAGAAAAAAGCGCCTCTTCAGGCGCTCATGTACGCATGCGTGTGCGGTGGTGCGCGTGCACGCGCCCGCGCGTGCGCACCCACAAGAATGCCTTTCCCTTTCTTATTCGAATGTATCTGTTACCATTTTCACAGTTATTTTTGGAAAAGTGAAGATGTTTTAACTTAAAAAAAAAATTCAGAGTTGCATTTTTCTTAGGGGAGTTGGACACAGAAATTTTCTTTACATGTCGCCCTTTAGAAGATAGATTCCGTGCATAGTATTGCTTGCTGAGTTGTATGAGAATGAAAACGCCAAGTTTAGTCCTTTTTCTTCCTCTCTGTTCAAAGTTAGGAATAAAGGCCTTGCCAAAGGATGCACTTTGATTCCCTTCCAACACTGCCAGTTGCCCGGGTGCCCCTCCGAGAGTCTGTGGCTCGGCAGTTTTTCATTTCCTTGGGCAGGGAAGACCAGCAAACCGTCTCGGAAGCCCAGACTGTGGCTCAGAGTTTGGGGGAAAGTCCCTGGCTAGACTTGTCTTTGGAAGTCAGTAAACACTGGGACTGCTTTGAACTGTGTGCTCTAATCTGCCTTCCCACCTGTCACAACTCAAGAAAAAGGGCCATTAAATCACAGTTGTGTGCAGGGCTCTTTTTAGAAATACCTGCTCTTTTGCCAAGAAGGGGGGTGTGTGTTTTCCTGTTATTTTCACCTGATTCACAATAAAAAAAAAAAGGTCTCCAAATAGTACATCTTATCGGGGAGCAGATCTACACTTCTGACACGGGATAGGAAATGGCCCGTCCTGAATGCACGAGAATTTGCTGGGGACTTAAGAGAGAAAGACTTAAGAGAGAAAGAAAAACAAAAACAAAAACAAAACAAAACAAAACAAAAAACAAAAGACCCTGAAGTAACCTGAAGTTTGAGGAGCCATAATATTCGTACAAAAGCAATGTGCAAATTTTATTGTTACAAATCATTTATGTCTTGTGATATAAATATAAGTACCATTCCTGTAGGCTATACTAAACAGGGGAAGATTAACCTTGGTCTTGGGGAGATTTGGGGTTGAGTACCCCTTTTACCATCCGTACCAGCTGTGTGATTTGGAGTGTCTTATTAGAATTCTGAGACTCAAAGTTCTTACCTGTTAAAGGGGGGGCTAATACAATAAGGCAATTGATATCAGAAGGGGGTGAGATTCACCCAAACAACAGAAGCAAGCACACTTCGGAGAATGGTTGGTACATGGCGTTGGATCACATAATAGGAGCTGCTTTGTTAGAAACATTTCCTCGTCACCAGAGGACTTTATCCTGATTGCCTTCAATAGATTGCCCAGTGATAACAATGACCCGTGGAAAATATGGCATAATAAAGAGATAATGAAGCGTGTGTACGTTCACATGACTTATAGAAAGGAGACTGTGAGGGGCTCTGTTAAAGCAACCCTGAAATTAAGGCTCAGGTTTCATACTCCTGATATCTCAAATTGGACACATTGGTGGAAATCACCTCACCAATCTTTGCAGGCAAACTAAAAACAAGCAAAAACCAAGACCGAAACCAAAAAAAAAGCCCACCAAGCATCCCTAGAATTGTATTTATCATAATTCTTTTGTTATCTCCTTATAATGGAGCTCAGATCTAGATCCCAAAGTAAAGATTTTACTAAGGTGGCAAAACAGAGTCCCAGGATGGCTTAAAATTTATCTGGTATGAAACTCTGAAGTTAAAAAAAAATATATATATATATTTATATATGTGTGTGTGTGTGTGTGTGTGTGTGTGTGTGTGTGTTTGTGTGTGTAACTGGGCTGGGCGGTAGTGGTACACACCTTTAATCCCAGCATCTGGAAGGTAGAGGCAGGTGGATCTCTCTGAGTTTGGGGCCAGCCTGGTCTACAAGAACAAGTTCCAGGATAGCCAGCAATGTTGCACAGAGAAACCTGTCTCAAAAAAAAAAAGAAAAAAGAAAAGAAAAGAAAAACAAAAATTTATTTATACCTGGTTTCATTATCCCTCACTTGGAGAGGTGAGGGATAAATACAGAAGTGAAATATCGTTTGAACAGAATAACATGTCAGACTTTGTGTGACAGCCAGGGAGTATTTATTACCCCGTGTGACTGATGTATGGTAGGCACTTGACTGTTCTCAATTTCGTGCCTTTGTTTAACAGGTGTACACTGTTACAGGATTCACTACTTTGTGATCTTCACCTTTTGCTTTCCCTACATTTCCTTTTAAATGCTTTGATCGTGGTGAATTTTTACCACTGTGGATTTTTTTTTGGGGGGGGTTGTTTTTTTCAAGATAGGGTTTCTCTATAGCTTTTGGAGTCTGTACTGGAACTAGCTCTTGTAGACCAGGCTGGCCTTGAACTCACAGAGATCCACCTGCCTCTGCCTCCCTAGTGCTAGGATTCAAGGCACGTGCCACCACTGCCTGGCCACCGTGGATGTTTTTAAGGGCTCAGTTTGGTGGCGTCAAAGGCACTCACAAGATGTGATGGCTACCATTGACTGTCCACCTGAAAGGGGGGCAAATGACCCAGGAGACTTGGGTGTGTTTGTCAGAGATTAGCAAGGTCAGATGAGCCTCTGGGCGTGCCTAGGAGGGGCTGTCTAGATTGAATTAATTAAGGTGAATAGGCCCAAACTCACTGAGAAGGCACCCGGCTAAGGTCCTAAGTCCTGGACTAAGGAAAGGGGTGGGGGGGAGAAAGTGGACTGAGCACTGGGGTTCCTTGCTCTACTCCCTGACTGTGGGTGCAGTACAATCAGTCACCTCAAGTTTCTGCCACCAGGACAGATGTGCCCCGTGAAATGTGATCTAAGACCAGCTTCCCCTCTCTTACGTGGTTTTTGTCAGGGCCTTTTAGAACAGCGGCAGGCACGGAGAGGAGACGGATACAAATGGACCAGCAACCGGCCCCATCCGCTAGCTCCAGAACACTGACATACCGCTTCTGAACTGGCTCCATCAGACAGAAAATGGAGCCCGTTTGTCCTCCTCCTGTGCCCCTGGAACGCACGCTTCTGTTTTCTGTCTGTGATTTTTACTACTCTGTGTACTTTACGTAGAATCTTAAGATATATGTTCACCGTGTCTGGCTTATTTCATTTTGAGTAATGTTTTCAAGGTGGATTTTGTAACCATGGCTCAGGATCCCCTTCATTCTTACTGCTGAATAATAAGGCCACTGAACATATCCCATGATATCCACTGATGGACATGAGTTTGTTTCCCACCTCTGGATATTAGAAACACAGCTGCTGTGAACACACACACACGCACGCATGCACACCTGTTTAAATCTCTGCTTTCAGTCTTTGGGGGAGAGATCCAGGAGTGGAATTGTGGGAACATGAAATTATTTAATATTTTAAGGACTCACCAGTGCTCCTTACTGGTTCCACATTTTCCATTCATGCCAGCAGTGTACAGGAGTTCCTACCATTTGATATTCTCACCAACATTCATAACATTCATTCCCTACATCTTATTTATTGTCTTAGGGTGTGTGTTTTGAGACAGGGTTTCTCAGTGTAGCTCTGGCTATCCCGGAACTCGCTCTGTACACCAAACTGGCCTCGAACTCACAGAGATCCGCCTGCCTCTGCCTCTCGAGTGCTGGGATTAAAGGTGTGTGCCGCCACCACCGAGTTTAGCTAGGGTTTCTATTGCTAAACCAAAACAGCACAACCAAAGCAACTTGGGGAAGGAAGGGTTTATTTGGCTTAAGCTTCTACATCATTGTTCATCATCAAAAGAGGCCAGGACAGGAACTCAAGCAGGGTGGGAACCTGGAGGCAGGAGCTGATGCAGAGGCCATGGAGGAGTGCTGCTTACTGGCTTATCCATCATGGCTTGTTTGACCTGCTTTCTTATAGAACTCGGGACTACCAGGCCAGGGACGGCACCGATTAAAATAGATGGGGCCCTTCCTATCACTAATCAATCACTAATTAAGAAAATGCTCTAAAGGTTTGTCTACTGCCTCACCTTACAGAGGCATTTTCTTTTCTTTTTTTTATTTATTAAAAATTTCCACCTCCTCCCCTCCTCCCAATTCCCTCCCACTCCCCCCCCCCCATTCCCTCTCCAGTCCTAAGTGCAGTCAGGGTTCCCTGCCCTGTGGGAAGCCCAAGGTCCTCCCCCCTCCATCCAGGTCTAGGAAGGTGAGCATCCAAACAGACAAGGCTCCCACAAAGCCAGCCCATGCAGTAGAATTAAAACCCAGTGTCATTGTCCTTGGCTTCTCAGTCAGCCCTCATTGTCAGCCACATTCAGAGAGTCCGGTTTGATCACATGCTCCATCAGTCCCAGTCCAGAGGCATTTTCTTAATTGAGGTTTCCTCCTCTCAGATATAGCTTATATTAGCTTATGTCAAGCGGACATAAAACTACCCAGCACACTGATATTTTTTAATCTTTAGTCTAGCCATCCTAATGGGTATCAAATCATTCATTTTTCTGAAGGGTTCTTATTGATTTTTCTCAATGTTACATAATAAAAAACTGGACTCTCTTGTTGGATTTGAAGAAGCAAGCTGCCATGAAGCCTGAAGCCTAAAGGAGTTTGGAAGCACACCCTTCCCTGGCTGAGTCTTCCTATGAGAAAAAAAACCCCAGGAGACACCCAATTCCACTCTTGTGAGGCTGCGCAGATTTCACTAAGCCCTGCCTGAACCCTTGCACCAAAGACACAGGAAGAGCTGCGGGGACATTTTCAATCCCTAAGTTTGCGTGGTTTGTTTGGCAGCAACCAGAAATTAGTACCAAGTGTCAAGGTCCTCAAGCACACAATGTATGGAATGCAATGACTTCATATGATATAATCATGGGTCAAGGGTCAGTGCTGAAGCGAGGCAGACCAGGAATCGCATACGGCTCTTTCAGTTCCTGTAGAATCATTGCTATTGCCTCTTATCCAGGGATTTCCACAAGCCTGGGTTCTGTTTTCA